TTTCTAGAAATTTTATCAAGATCAATGAAATATTAAATAATGTTTAAAATATAAAAATACTTATTTATTAGCCATACAACTCAATACCAATCAATACACTCTCATTCTAAACAGTAAATACTGTTTTATTTCCGATGCAAGAGTTGTATTAAGAAAATGGAATAAAAGTTACATTGATTCTATAAAACGACATATATTTTAAAAATTTTCGTAAACACTTCAAAACTGATATCATAATTTACAGTGCCTACATAGCGGGCTTAGAAATATTATATATATATATATATATATAGAAAAAATTGGCCGATCTACCCAAAGGTTGACATGCGTTGTCAATTCTACCCTATTCTTTTTCGATTAGCCAATATTACCCTAAGCTATCCAACCGTTAGTCGATTTTGTCCAATTGGCCAATTTCCGTTTAAATGAACGGAATTCTGTTAGTTTTAATTATAAAAAATACCCTAATAGTTTTGAAAATTATAAAAATGACCCTAAAAATTTGTAAAAATAACCAAACAGTCTTTTTACACTTTTTATTTAATTTTTTCTATTTTTTATTTATTTTTATTATATCTCATAACTATAAAAATATATTATATGATCTTTTAAAAAAAACTATTTATTTTTAAACACTACTGTGTAAATTTATAGATATGTATATTTGTAACTCATGGTTGATTTACATAAACATATCAATTTTTTAATAATATAACTTGACAATAATGATATTAGTTTTTTTAATCCTTTTTTTCAATTTAAAGAATAATATTTTTTGACTAAAAACCAATTTTTTACAAAAAAAGTAAAACATTTAGCATAAATTAAAAATTAAGATATAAGTATATTTTAATTTATTACAAATTGAATAAACAAACTATAGATTGTATTATCCAATTCAAAAAATTACTAAACTAAAATATAGTGTACAATTTAGTGTTTAGGGTGTTGAGCTTCATGGTAGTAGATATAAGATTAATTCTCACCAAGGATTTTTAACCGGGAGAGTGATTTTATCCACATTTATGCATGGTTTACTAAAGGTGAGAGGCTTGAGTTGGATGGTCAGGTGATTTAAGATGGGAGATGATTATTACTGTGTTCGAGGCCTCAATTCTCACTGGGGCGATCTTTTTTTTTTTTTTTAAAGATGGAGTCCAGTACTGGAGTAAATTTTTTTTATTACTATTAAAAAAAATTTCCTGCTAAAGTTAGATGTTAATATCTCAAAAAAATTATCACGAAATGTTAAACTCTCGAAATGATAAATATACATATTTTTTATAAAATATTTTGTACCATTTTTTTTTACTTTCTGTTTGTACTTGGCCTTTTAAAGAAAATCTATATTTTAATTTAATTATTTTTTTAATTTTACAATACAATCTAAATTCTGTTGAATTATATTGTAATAATACATTAAAGTATACCAATAAAAAAAAATTTAATTTATGCTAAATGTTTTATTTTTTGTGTAAAATTAGATTTAGTTAAATAATCTTATTTTTTAGATTTAAAAAAATAGATTAAAAAAATAATATCATTACTGTTAAACCATATTATTAAAAAAATTAATATGTTTATGTAAATCAACCATGAGTTACGAATATGCATATCTATAAATTTACACAATAGTGTTTTAAAAATAAATAGTTTTTTTAAAAAAGATTATATAATATATTTTTATAGTTATGAGAAATCGTGAAAAGAAATAGAAAACAGAAAAAATTAAATAAAAAGTGAAAAAAGACTGTTTGGTTATTTTTACAATTGTTTGAGATCATTTTTATAATTTTTAAAACTATTAGGGTATTTTTTATAATTAAAACTAACGAAATTCCGTTAAGTTAAACGGAAATTGGCAAATTGGACAAAATCGGCTAACGGTTGGATAGCTTAGGGTACTATTGGCTAACCGAAAAAGAATATGGTAAAATTGACAACGCATGTCGATCTTTGGGTAGATCGGCCAATTTTTCCTATATATATATATATAGAGAGAGAGAGAGAGAGAGGTTTCTTTAAAGACGCGAAAAAAAGGAAAACCATAAAAAAAAAATAAAAGTGCTAGAATTATACAAAAGTGATAGGATATATTCATGGACTAACTTGTGCCGTATGTCATTAGGTTCCATGTGTCATTAATTTTGCATACATAAAACCGTTTATAGACACCATTACGTACCTTCAAGATTGAATATTATGGCTGAATAAAGACATACATGACCACTTGAAAACTTAGTTTTCTAAGTTACCAACTTAACTGCTTTAACAACCAAAGGGATTAACAGAAGACCAATATTCATCTCTATCAATGAAATGCAATGAAAAGCCTTTTCAATCTTATGTTTGTTTTTTGTTTTTTTGTTTATTATCATGTTCTTGGCCAATAGCTTCTTCCAGCTGCTTTTCCTTAATTGCAAAAGCTTTTTTGGACATATCAGACACCCTCCTCATACTATCCCTTCCCCACACCATGAGGTAGAAAAAGTGCTAAAAACAAAGTAGAATCAACAAAATGATGAACTACCAGAATCAGATTATGATTTTAGAGAGGAAACCCAGCTCTCGGCATAGTATATGCTTTCCCATTAATACAAGTACACAACAGCTCTACTGAAGTAGAATGCAAAACTCATACTTTTACTTTTACTTTGAAGTAGAAAATTCAAAATAGTGTAAAAAAGTTCATATTTATTTATATATATTATCACATCCATCTTGTGATTTCTTTCAGTCTGTTTTTCTTTTTCTTCCATTGTTGAGATACATGCCCTGTAATAATAAGACATTGTCATTGGTGTTTACAATTTACAACTTTCCGCCTACCCAAATTTTAACACCATCGCAGTATAGTTTCAATTTTGACAAAGTTACTTTTACTTAATCTACGCATGTTCTCAGTTTAGAGATTTGTGGAGATTTTTTCTCCATTAGTAAAATTTAAGGTCAAGTCTATAAATGGAACACTTCAAGTATAGTTAGAAACACAACTTTTGCTTTAGTCTTTATTTTTTTGTTTTAGTTTTTATTTTTATCCATTAAATTGTCAATTTTCCATTGCGTCCATTTTAAATAATCAATACAATTAGCCTTCTTTCTTTATTTTTGTTTTTCTTTTCGACTTCGAGAACAAAAAAACCATCGGGATTATTTGTTGTGGGAGACTAGCAAAATTGTTTCCTTAGTAAAAGCGTTTTTGCCTTTTGTTTTCTTTTGCTGGATATGTTTAATTGTTGTTCTTCATGATCCCTGTATTAATTGTAGGAATATTTGTTTAATTTTAGGCGAATATTTTAATATCATTGAAATAGTTTTTTTCAGGGATTTATTTTTTAACATGACTCAAGTTTAGATTTATGTTATTACTAGAGCTTACCCCGCACTAGTAATTATATATTATATAATTATTATGTGAAATCTGATTGTTAAAAAAGAGAGAAGTCACTCGCGTCGAAACCATAAGAAAATGATTTTATGAGTTCCAAAATAGCAAAAACATTTCTTCCAATAATACATTGAATTCATCGAAATGAATGGTACATGCTATAAATTCTTAATAGAAATTTCTTAAACGACTTGAAGGACCAAAACGGCCACCAACAGGCAACAACCATTCTTCTACCACTTTCATACATGAAAACATCATAATGTTAATTCAATGGGCCTGATTTTTTGCATCTTCATCATGATAAACATGCAATATAATTTTCCATCATTATTATGGAGGTGCTGCCAAAGGTTAAGTTTGATAGCATCTAAGGTTAATGCTTTACCACGTGCCATTAAAATTTGTCAGAAAAAATACACCGGAGGTACAATGCCTTGAAATGTTGCATTGAGAAGATATTCAGCATTGATAAGAGAATAGCTTTGTGTAGTGCTTACAAAAGCCGGCCGCCACTAACAAAAAATTTCTGGAACTTTTAATAAGAAGTGGCTCAACCAAGATTAACAATGGAGGATATTATCACTAGTCAACTGAAATTAAATTGTGATAGTCTACATTATGATCTAATTATTTTGGGAAAACATGCGGGATGAACCTTGGAAGAGTAATACGAGAAAAATAGGAATCAAATCCTTAAGTTTATCTTTAAGGGTAAAATAGAGAGAGAAATTAAGATTGGGAAGAAAACAATAAAAAGAAAATAAACCCCTTTTTCAAGAGGAGACGGCTAGAATTTGGGGCGAAACCCTTCCGCTGGTTCATGTAGCTTCTAGTTTTCATATCTTGCGACTCTTACTTTTTGAGTTCTCTTCGCCATCCATTGAATTCACGGTTACTTCAAGCCCTTAATCTGTCTATGGTCACTCCTCTTTGGCCCTAACCACTTCATCTGTTAGTTCTGAGTCTTGACAAAAATTCTTAAAGATAAAGGTGTAGGAGGACATCATAAATTAAGAGGATTATATGAAAAATATCACTCCAATTTGTTCAAGGCTGCATATACTCACCAGAATTCATTGATGGCGCCGTAATTGCTCCATAAAAGTATATGACTACAACTTCATACTTATACAGGAAAATGTCAACTATCTGCACTGAAATATATGTGATCAATATATCGTAGTTCAGAAGTTCAAGTCTAACTAACTTTATGTGATAGGAAATTCCTAAATATTTTGAATCTTAATCTTAATCTTAGAAGTTAGTTGCGAAACAGAATGGAGAGATTAGCACATTTTAATATTTAACGAATTTTATCCTAGTAATAAAAAATATAATTGTGAAGTGAAATTTTTTTACGACATCTATAAATACGACACGTGTCTTGAAGGATTTTTCAATTGAGCCAGAAGGCTCGATTCATCCCAAAATACTCCTCCTTTAATATATAAAAGATTATAGAGTATTTCCAACATAAAACTTGATGTGATTTAGGTAATATATTCCCGTAATGTATTAAAGTGATTTTAAGGTATTTCGAGGTTTCATCGTGAAGAATAAAAAAACTATATAATCACGAATTAGTCTAGGGAACTCATGTATAATTGGCTTCGAAATTGAACACTTTAATAATTATCTCGTGATCGGTTGTTCTAACTTAGAACAATGAACTGCTACATTAATTTTATTCAGACAGAATGATAGACCTATAGATACACATAGACAAAAATAAAAATAATAATGTGTGTAAAACCTATATTTTTAGATATAAATAAAAAAATACTTTCACACTAAACTTTAGCTCTTATTCATGGACGCCTCGAACACTATTACTCAAGCAGGTATTGGATCGACAAGTACGGCTCTAATGTAAGGCTCAGTTACTTGATGCGGATTTGTAAATCCATCGACCCCATCCCCGTAAAAGACATGAACCATGCGGGCGAGATTAAAGAAACTCATAAGAGTTTCTCGGGACATGGGATTAGATTTCAAGCATTCCTCGTTCATATCTTTCCATCCATCTTCAACCATTTCTTCAAACTTTGCCATTGCCTCCTCCTCCGACACATTATACTGGTTCATGTAGCATTGTATCCCCGTTCCACTTATTTCTTTCTCCCGCTTCGAATATTATCATTGCAACATACACAATCAATTAGATATTGTTAGTTAAGAACTAGAAAGTTTTATCAAAGAACTATCGATACCTAAATATTACTCCTTTCATCCAAAAAATAATTGTCCAATTTGATATTTTTGTTTTAGCACAGATCACACTAAAATTAAAATCTAAAGTGAATAATCGTTTTGTGACGGAGGGAATATTAGGAAATCAAAATTAAAAGAAAATTCCGATACCTTGTGAGAGCTAATGTCATTATTCATCCGGCATATTTTGGCCACACCAACAAGAATCTCGGGGTAAGTTGCGAGCCAATCATAAACGTCTTTGGTGGCATTCTCCAATCCAAGCAAGGCCATTGCCATAGACACGTAACCTAAGCCAGTAGTCAAACCATTTTCAAAGTAGTCCTGAAATGTAGGAAGCTCTCTGTTGATGAACCAGGGGGCCTGGATATAACTCGTCCTTGCATACTCTTTCCACTAGTTAAAGGCAACCAAAAGTTCAAAACAAAATCTTAAGAATAATAGAAAATTGAAATGAAAATAAATAATACTAATTACTACATTCGAAGAAAAAGAGAGTGGCATTATCATATATAATACTTGGTATTTGTAGTAATCGGATGCGTATGTTCTTCCTTGTCTCGTTAATTCTTTGTCAACCTCTTCACCAGCTCTTAGGAGAGCCATGTATGAAGTTCTCATGAAATTTGGAAGGCGTTGACTTTCCTCAGGATTCCACCTTAATTAATAAGCAGCAAAAAGAATAAAATACTACTTCAGTACTTCCATAATTACAGACATATTTTAAAAGAATTAAAGTTTTTATTCTTTGCAATCTTTGGATGAAGAAACTTTTGATGATTCGACTTATATATCCGAACCGTACTTTTCAATTGCATCAGTGAAAGTTTTTAGTTCATCGAGAGTTCCAAAGGAATCATATGTGTCATCAATCGCAGTAAGCAAGAGTGACGTTTTGGCAGTGATGATTCGGCCAAAAGAGTGCTGAGGTTCATAGAACATTCCGACACCATAAAAGTAGCTTTCAGCAAGTCTTGATCTTGAATACGGGTTCTTAGATATGATCTCAGTCTCATCTGCCCACCTGTGATCAGAATACCATGGAGCAAGAAATGTTGTTGTCAATCCTCATTTTTCAGGAGATTCAACTTTGACAACGTTTAATTTGGTTTCACTTTGAATTTGTGTGATCCTCTATTCTCGATTTTCAATACACTTTTTTTATATTCATAAATTACTATGCTTATTTTTACATCCGTTAACTACTAAGAGACCACACCATAAAAAAGGGCGGATCAACATGTACAAGTACAACAGCTCGTACTTTACCTGACCACCTCAAGAAGTTCTTCTTTGTACAAGAGCTGCAGGAAGTTGAAATCCAGCTTAGCCAGCCTTAGAAGCAACCGATCACAGGATTCCGTCTGCTCGTAGATCGAGATGTAACGACGAGCTGCTAATCTGGTCATGCACTTGTGAATTGGCTGCCTAATTGCATTCTCCACTTGTACTCTTGGAACAAAATTCACATCAGCAGAGCCACCGACTTGCTCAACATTTTGTTGTTGCAGTTCTCGCAGCCAGCGGTTTAGGTGAGTTGTACTAAAACGGAAGGCCTCTTCTAAAATAACGTCATCATGCGACCTTAGCTGAGAGGCTTCGTACAGGCTGAGTAACCCTCTAATGTCACTACACAGGCTTTCTTTGAATCTAGTACCCTCAGCATCCATCAACTTATGAAATACATGATCTGATTTAATGTCATAATTCATAGTATTATACTATATGTCAATAATTCGGTATCTTTCAAATATTTAAGACAGTTGAAGAGGAAGTTATTCACAGCTGGGACGACGTAGTACGTACCGCAAGAAATGTTGAAGCCATGTTGCCTGAAAAGGCGAAAATGAAGTGCAACCGTGAACAAATCATGATCACCGCCGTTGAAGTAATTGGTAGTAGATTCTTCATTGTTGACTTCTAGCATCTGCCAATTGAAGATTTTCTGCAATTGGGTTTGGATGTCTGCTTCAAAATGATAAGAAATCCCAAGTTGTTCCAAACTGTCAATTAATTTCATCTTTTCATCAACTGAGCTTGGAGTAGCCAACAGCTTAACCCTCACTTCGTCCTTCAACATTTCAATTTCTCTCCCGTGCATGTCACGGAACACCTGATAATTAATTAACTAAAGTTTTTATATTCCAGTACTTACAAGAATGATAAACATTTGGAAAATTCCATCAATGTAATTAAGAATCAATAAAAAAAAAAGGAGGGGGAAGGGAAGTAGTAGTAATTATTAACCTCCCCAACTGATGCAAACTCATCACTCCAGAAGCCTTGAGGAAAGTCCGCAACCAGGCGGAGATTCCCGGCTTGCATGGAAGCAGCGACGTGATCTTCTGTTAAGGCCATTTCTTTCTTCTTTTTTGTAATAGTAATTGTTTATAAACAAACTTGTGATGAATATATTGTTATGATCATATATATATTTATAGGGGGCCAAAAACAAGGGCAATAATACATCCTTCCTTTAATGCAAACGTCTTTCCCTCGAGGTCTTTCCTTAGTAGTAAATAGTAACATTGGACAGATTGACACAGATTAGTCCCTGGGCGGCTTCACCATAGAGAAGGTGAAGCTGCCGCTTTAGACCTCCAAATATTAGGGGCCCCTAAATTTTAATATTTCTTAATATTATATATATATATATTTAAGAAAAAGCTATCACCTAAAAAATGTTATTTACAAAACTAAAAGTTATTTAATCCAAGTAATCCAATAAATGTTTTAATATACTGAAATAAAATCAAGATGTGGTAAGTTACTCTCCCTACTATATACTCTTGGCTTTATAAAACTTAATCTAAAACGACAAAAAGAGTTTTTAACCCCGCCTATTCTAGATTTTCAAATTTATAATTATCGGTCCAAAATCTGAATAAGGAGAAAAATTAACTTTTTCTTTTTTATTTAGTTTCTTTATTTTTAAAAGGTCCAAATTTTGAAACTCAGGTTTAGGCCTCCTAGGAGTAGGACGTTAATTAAGCCGCCTTGGATTAGTCATCACCGCTACACTGACTACTCAATTATTGTCGGGGTTGCATTATTGAGCATTAGTCTTTTTGTAGTCAAGGCCATGTAATTATGGTGTTCGGATTAAACACAGTCAGCTAACGATGAGATTCTTGATAATAGTACTAGGTGTACGGTTAAAAATGCTGAGTTTTATTTTTCGGAAAATAATCATGTCAGAACGAGACCTAGGCGCTCTAAAATGCAGTTGCAAGAGATTCGCCGCAGCCAAAACTTGCCACGAATTGCACCTGTTTCCACATATAAAGTTCTCTATGGTTGAATTTTAAAACCCTTTCTATCCCTTTGATCTCTCCAACCCATCGCTCTAATGTTTAAGTTTACCTTTCAATTTGGGGCTTTGGTAGCTCCGTCAATTTTTTGTTTGGGGAAATTTGATTTATTTATTTTAAGGTTATGGCATGATATTACTCCTAATTCGAAGCATGAAGAATGGAGGTGTTTTTATCGAATTTCCCGAAGGGATCTTTTTGGGTGTTTGGCTGGTGAAGGGTACGTTCCGTAGTTAAGCGGGGAAAAAATAAAATGGGATGTTTTCGCATACCTTTAAAGATAATAATCTATGTGTTAATACTTTAGCGAAAGAGACATTGGTAAAAAACATAGACTTATATTTTTTTGATTTGATACTGCCCCAACATGTATCTCCTTGTTTTTAGAGCAGGATCATTTAGATGTTTGTATGACTTTTGCTCAAGGCGGCTAGCCTTCAAATGGAAATTACTTTCGACAAAAAAAAAAAAAATAAATAAACGAATTTAAATTTCTTTTTAAAAAAAATCCAGTAGAAAATAGGTAAAAAAGTAAAAGTGAGGCCCAAGCCCAAAAAGGATTAAAAAAACATATGGAGGCGTGGCGGGTTTTTTTAAACAAAATTATGTCCTTGTGATTACAAATATTTGTTGGAAGAATTTTATTTATGGAGAAAAAATATTCCAACTTGATTTCACATTAACTGTGGCACTATTATAAAATACTGGATGCGTAAGTATATATTACAAAGAGGGGTGGCCTATGGACTATCACTCGATGCAACATTTCAAAGAGCGAGGATGTATCATTACTATTAGGAAATAGTTTTGCATTTTGTTGTTTTATAAAAGAGTTGAAGTTGGAAAAAGCTTATAGGCTGGCTTGACTTTTTTTCCAGCCTAGCTACTAGGTAGTGAATGTATGTAACATTTTATTCGTGTTTTAATATAAAATCTTACTTATGTTTGTGTCTAAGAAAAAAAAGTATGATTTTCCAAAAAAAAAAAAATTGTTTTTCTTTTTCTTTTTTGACGGGATAATTATACTATAGAATTCCTGGTAAGAAAATTGAATATCATTTGTGTAGTAAATATTTATAAAATTGTTTGTCTATTTAATAAAGACTTTATAAAATCTTCATTTTTCATGATGCAAACTCTAGAGATACACGAATGACGAAGTGCACTTGCAATAAATTATTGCCTTTTTTTTTTTTTTTCTACTAGTACTATTCCCGTGCGTTGCACGGTTTTTCTAAAATATGTTATGTCATTTTGAAATTATTAATCAATAATGATTTATAACCACATAATTTGTTATTCATGATATATTTTTTTAAAAGGGATAAGATCGTAATTTTTTTTAATTGAAAAAGTAATAAGACTTGGAAGGTTTGTTATGGTAACGTGTTCTCCTGATTTCAAACATATGTCTGTCATGCCGGTGTTAGGCTTTGCTTATGATGGTTTACTACCTCTTATTGTGATTTTTATTTTCAATTAAAAATTTAATAACTTGTGATATTAATTAGTATTAGGAGAATTTTTTTTCCATAATAATGAAAAAGAGGAAAAAGGAAAAAGGATGAGATAATCATAACAAGTAGAGTAAACTGCTCATATGATCTTTTACATTTGTCAAAAATTTAATTTGGTCTTTTACGTTAAAAATTCAATTAATTGGTCCATTACATTTGTCTTTTACCCTAATTTAGTCTTTTTTACTTTTTTTTTTGTAATACTTTACATTTTGGTGGTTCTTGGGTTGATCATTTCTTGGTCAAGTTATCAGAGTATTTTTGATAATGTCTTATTCACAAAAAATATGTTTAAAAAATATATTTAAAAAATTAATTAAAATATTAAACATACGATATTAATTTATAATTAATTAAAAAAATTAAAATTTCAAAACTCACATTTTTTTTCCAAAATCAAAATTTTTTTTTATCCCATGGGTCCCACATCCAGTATCTTATTACTGATCTTATACTTTAACTTTTTTCTCCATTCCCCCAGTTAAACACTTTCCCGTTTCCTAAATCTCGTCCTGAATGTGGAGAAAAAAAGTTAAAGAATAAGGTTAATAATAAGAATCTGGACGTGGTGGGTTGTCAATTTTCGACATGAAACAAAAACATGACTCAAACTTAATACGTATTAAGTGAGTTAAAGGTTAAGCTCTGGCAGGTTTGGTTCGAAATCAAGTTGAACCCGTGAACACGTTTAATGAAAGAGGTTGAACTCAGGTCAACCTGCCACAACTCTTATTGACCCGTTTAACCCAAAATTCAAAATAAGTAATTTGTGGGCTTATTAAGTAAATATTAAAAACATACTATCTAAACCCTATAGATTCATATCACCTAGAATATCTATTTTTTAGTTAGTTCTAAACATGTTACCAGACTTATTGCGTTATTAAGTTAGTTCTTTCCCATTAAATTCACAAACATTAAAAAAACTCTCATCCTTAATGTTTGTAGACATCTGCTTATTGTTTTAGTTATAAGTACTTAAAATTTAATTTCATATTATCTTTTTTCAAAAAATTTTTAGTTTTTTTTTCAAAAAATGTATTTTGTTAATTGCACATATATTAAATTATTTCGGGGTCATTTCGTGTCGTGTCGGGCCGTCCGTATTATTATCAAATCGTGTTCAAGTTTAAAAAATTGACTCGTATAGTTAAACATGTTGTGTTCAAGTTAGTACATAAATATTTGAGTTTATGTCGGATCCGCCCGTGAACCTGAAACACAACTCAATTAACACCCCACTACGGGGTCCACAGGATAGAAAGAATCAGATTTTGAATTTTTTAAATTTTATTTTTGAATTTTTATTAATGATAAATCCATATACTATGATTAATATTATTTAAATGGATTTTTGTTTTCTTATATTTTTAAAAATTAGACATTATCAAAAATACTCCTATTGACTTGGCCAATAAATGTTCAACCCGAGAACTGCCAAATGTAAAATGTCAAAAAAAGTAAAAAGTATTAAATTATTTTAAAAGACTATGTAATATACCAAATCAGTGAATTTTTAATATAAATGACCAAATTAAATTTTTTAGTAAATGTAAATGATCATTTGATCAATTTACTCGATATTTGGTATTCTAAATATGATATTCTAAAAAGATTTACTCTCAATCTAAGTTTCCTAAAATACTTGGAGTTATTTACAATTATATTCACACTATAATTATTAATTATATAATTAGTTAATGATTAGTTATTCTGTGAATATATTCTTTATTTAATTTTTTCATAAGAGTATAATTAATTTATCTTGTCGTATTTTGATATTGTATTAGTTTTAAAATTTATTGATTGTGTAGATAAATTCCTTATATAAATTAATAATTATAATGATTTTGTTTGGGCGTATTTATGGTCATTATGCAATTAAAGTATGCAATGACAGAATATGGTAATTATTTCTAACACTGAAGTAAGGTAAAAAAAATTTATTTAACCAAATTATAATATTGTTTTACAGTTTAATGAAGGAAAGTTGTAGAGATGACATGTGTCACGATTGTCCTAAACTAACTCACCGAACGACACGTGTCGATTACAAACTCTCTTTTAATATATACTAGTGTTTACCCCGCACGTTGTGTGAGTTGTTTCATATATATATGAAGTTAACGATTTAACGATTGTATGACATTTTCGATAGAGTGATATACGTAAGAAAAAACTTATTAATGATATAAATTGAAATTGTGTAATTTTTAATGTCAATGTGTTTTGTTGTTTTAAATACATTTGGAATAATTTTTAATATTCGAAATAATCCAATGTAACTTGTTGTCTATCTTTTTCGCTGTATTGATTCATGAGTTTATATATTTTAAAAGTATTCTCTTAATTTTTCATAATTATCTCTCTAAATATTTATTTTGTGTCATATCTTTTAAACTCTCTCCTAATATTTCTCATCATTTCTTTCCATTGTAACCTTTCTTTAGAAGTTTGTTCGTGTTCAGTTTTTTCTTATAATATACTATGTTTTTTTTCCTATAAGCAAACTATCCTTTTACGATATGTTGTTTTCTTTACAATGTATCACGTTGTACGGTTGTCAATGTATTGGAGTTATTTTAAGTATCTTTTTAAAATTATTCTCTTAATAGTTTATAATGATCTCTCTAAATATTTCTACTCGTATCATATGTTTTAAATTTTTCCTCTAACATAAAATTTTCTTATTATTTCTTTCGATAAACTTATTTTTATTTTTCATCTCTCTATATACCTTTTGCAACCTTTCTTTAGAAGTTTTTTTTTTCTATAATGTAATATTTACTTCATTTTTTCATTGGTTACATAGTCTTCACCTTTTTTTCCCCCTAATTTGATGACCTATCTTTAAAGTTTCATTTCTTGAAAAACTTGTAATAATTATTTTATTTTCACCATTACCCTTCCTTTTTCATATTTTCTTATTCTCTACATAATTTTTTTCTCCATATAATTATTTTTATTTTTTCAATATGCTTTTCTTCAATTGTTTGTCTCTCACAAAAACTTTTATTATTTCTCTCGTTTTGAAATTTTTCCTCTATCGATCTCTACGTTTTGTTTTATTAATATAAAGTTATCTTTATTTACCATTGTATCATACGAAAAAAAATATAATGAATTATCAAATTGATTCTTTTAAATTTTACTACATATTACCAATCTTCATCAATGTTAGAAGATTCATCAATGAAAATCGCATGCCAAACCTGGTATCAAAGATGCATATGCAAAGAAAACTGCAAAAAAAATAAAAAAAAAACTATTTAGAATCGGTATGGAGTATTAATTTCTTAACTACGATGAAATAATTTTGATTTTGAGTAATCGAAAATATGCATCTTGTTATTTTATGTTTTTTTTTTATCTAGACTCGTCAATGTGACAAGGAATAAATATTTAAATACTATTTTTTATAATTCATTTTTTTTTAAAAAAAATTATCTTATTTATTATATACTGACATTTAATTATGTTTGACTGTTGCTCGGATTGATTAGAATTTAATGATCACTATCGAATATAAATAATCTTTTTGTTCTAATATGATTATCCAATTTGGATTTTCATTTTAGTCAAATCGTTTTGAGATAGATGGAGCATGTTAAATTTATTTTCTAGGTAGTGTGGTTACACAAAATCTTATATGGATCTTTATCGTTTTAGAAGTCTTTCATGTTCATCTTCTTTTTCAATATTTTTTTGTTTATTTAGGTCATCCCTCAAACATTTTTTAAACGTTTCAACCCATTAACTATGTTGTCAATGTCTAATTTTACCGCATTATTCATAATATTTAAAAAGTAATTGCAAGATAATACTTAAATTATATTTCACTTTTCAAATCCTATAATTAATTTGGATTCTTAGATTTAGGAAATAAGATACAAATAAAAAAAAAAAGAGAAAAAAGTGTCTATGTATTCGCTGCCCAATTATTTTCCAAGTGCTTTAATTCCGTAATACATAAATCTAATTAAGATAAGTACTTATATTAGATTAATTCGGTGTTCCTTTTGTTTTTTTCCTTTTAATTTTATTTTAATACTTATATTATTTTTCTGCACAAATAAATCGGGTAAAATTAGTTATTTATAGATTTTAAGGATTTATAAATAAAAGTTACCATTAAATGATGGAGTGATCTGAACGTGATATGTGGACTTGGCAATCTAATATTTTGTCATGTAGAGATTAGCCTATATAATATTACACCATGTGTCCGATTGAAAACTCTCTCTTAATATAGAATAAACTGGAGTTTACCAAAGTGATAATTATTTACGCAGTTAATGACTAAGTAATTAAATCAAATAAAACTGGTTATTTATAGGTTTTACAGATTTACAAATAAGAAAAATAAAAATCACCAAACCTAAATAATTGAACGAATCAATTTCCCTGATGGGGGTATAAACTATTAAAAAAATAATTACGAACTCTAGTGAAATATTATGTAACATAATTTGTTTAAGTATTTAATTGTTTAGGAACATTTTCATGTAAGAAAATAGTTGAACGGTTTTGAATAATATGGTGTTGTTTTTTACAATGTGGTTTCCGCTGGGGCATTTGTTTTTTAATATAATAACATATATTAGGTTTAATTGTTTATATAACTTAACTAAAATGTCTATCCTTTAAAAAAAAAAAACTAAAATGCCTACTATTCGAGAATTTCTTCTGAACAAAAAAGAGAGAATTATGCTACGGGTGTTTTTTTTTCCTTTTGAAATTTTTTTAGTTAATTGAGTTTTATCTATAAATTTACAATTTTATATTAAAAAATTAATATTAAATGATGGATTGATGTGGTTGCGACATGTGACTTGGATACCTAATTTTACGCCATGTGGATTAGTCTATCTAGTTTTTTGTTATGTGTCCGATTGAAAACTCTCCTTTAATATATATAAAGATATAGATTATAATTTTGTGTTTGAGATATTATTTTTAATATATATATATATATATAAATATATATATATATATATATAGATTACAATTTTATGTTTGAGATTTCATTTTTAATTTATAAACATATATTTAAGCTCCATTTGGAATGAGGATCAAATTTTGTGTTTATATTTTCTTTTATAATGTGAGGAACTAAGTAAGACACATAAATATATCTGTTTTTAGAAATGCGAAGTTCAGATGTTTAACTTTTTAACCTCGTCATCTATTTTGTGAAAGATGAATTTAAGGAAGCCTCAAACTTTTAAAATGATTAATTCAATATAATCCAACATCAATAAAGAAAGAATCACTTATATTTTATTAATCTAAAAGAAATTGAAAGTACAATTATGATAGAGTAAATTACATATTACATTACAGTATATGGTTGAATAAATTCAATATTAGAACTATCATAATCTTAATGAATCCAAGTTATATAAAGGAAAAATAAAAATAAAATCCACTCGGGTCACTCCAACCAATCAGCGAATGGTCAACTCTAAGGACTTCATGCTATTGGTCTACTCCACTCAGAAACACTGCACAAAACCTCTAAATCGGTTCCACAAAACAAAGAGAGAGAGAAAAATCAAAAAAGGAAAAATGGGGTTCCCAAAGTCACCGATCTTGCTCCTCCTCCACCTTGTCTTCACCACCGCCGTCCTCCTCCCCATCGCCACCGTTCACTCTGAAGACCCCACCTCCGATTTACTCTCCCACCTCGAATCCCTCCAATCCCAGTCGTCCTCCACCAATGGCGGCGGCGGCGTTATTCACCTCACCGATCCACTCCTCAAGCGCATCCTCTCCCTCCCAACCCCGCGCCCTTTTTCTTTCCTCATCTTCTTCGATGCCAAACAACTCCATTCCAAACCTGAGCTTTCTTTGCCAGCTCTCAAATCTGAGTTTGCCCTCGTCTCCAAATCGTACCTTTCCAACAACCCATCAGATTTTCACTCAAAGCTCTTCTTTTTTGACCTCGAATTCCAGGAATCGCAGGCCTCATTCGCACTTTTCGCCGTCAATTCATTGCCCCACATCAAATTGGTACCAAATGCAGCCGTTGATGTGAAGAAGGATTCGATTCAAATGGACCCATCTGATTTTGCAGGGCAGGCGGAAACCATGGCCGCTTTTGTCGAGTCCAGAACTAAGTTCCCAGTGGGTCCCATCCACCGCCCGCCTTTGATCTCTAAGAAGCAACTGATGTTTATCATTGCCATCATTTTGATTTGGACCCCGTTTGTGGTTAAGAGAGTGATTGCCGGAAAAACCCTTTTGCATAACAAGAGTTTGTGGATGTCTGGGGCGATTTTCGTCTACTTTTTCAGTGTTTCCGGCTCGATGCACAATATTATTCGCAAAATGCCTATGTTTTTGACCGACAGAAATGATCCTGGGAAGTTGGTTTTCTTTTATCAGGGTTCTGGAATGCAGTTGGGTGCTGAAGGTTTTGCGGTTGGGTTTCTGTACACTGTGGTTGGGTTGGTTTTAGCTTTTGTTACTCATGTTCTTATTTATGTGAAGAATAGGAATGCGCAGAGGATCATGATGGTCTTCGTGCTGTTTGTTTCGTTCTGGGCCGTGCAGAAAGTGGTTTTCCTGGATAATTGGAAGACAGGATATGGTATTCACGCCTACTGGCCTTCAAGCTGGAAATAGTATGGTATGAACTGAGAGCTGGTTGACTTTGTTTTAGGAAAGACTCCCGGACCCATCATTGGCTTTTTGGTAAGAGATACGTAGCAACTTAGGTGCGAAAGAGAGGATATGCAAGGATTATACACTTCGTGCTGTCTGTTTAGTTGTAATATTAGAAGGTGGATGGATACTTCTCACCTGACTATATATGCTGGTTGACATTTCGGAGTCCTGGTTATCAGGAATTTTCTTTTCAGTTTATTCCATGACAGTTTTCTTCTGATTCTGTGTTAAATTTACTGCATGCTTTTACTTTTTATGATTGTTTTCCATGGTGGAGTGTGATTGATTCCTATACATATCTTATTCAGTTTTTCTGGTAATTGGGACTTCTATATTGTGGTCGATCAAAGGACCAGAATAAGTGGCACAATAAATTTTGTCTTTGGTTTTGATCATATTCACCTTCGCAGCATTCATTCGGCATTCCTTTAGATAAGAAATTGGGAGACTCAGTTTTTAGCTGTTTAGTCTTTGGTTGATCTTTCAAGACAAGAAACTGGTTTTTTTTCTGCAATGCAATGACATGGAAAGTTTGTCTATGGTGTATTTTGTTTAGGGAAGTGTACCTTATATGGTTATATTGTAGATATGAATTTGTAGGCAATTTTAATTTTCCTCATCCAGGTAGCATTTGATTTTATCACGAGTAAAGGTTTTTGTCCAATTCACATATACAATGAAAGCTGTTGCAGGGCCCGGTTTAAGCTTTTTCATAGATGCAGTTGCTATTGGATGAACATGCTGATAAGTTGGCAATAGATGTGTGGACATACTAGATTTGATAGGATCATTGTTAGTAAACAATGCATTAGAAATAGAGTGAGGTTAGCCTCAAAAAATGGGAAATGAGAGAAATATGATTAAGGTGGTTTGGGGCATGTGCTTAAGACAAATTTAGATGTCCTACATAGCTTGTATATACCGAAGCTTTACTTGTTCATGTGAATTTTTGAAATTGAGAGTACTGAACATTAAATGATAGAACACTTCGGTGATGCCAAGATGTGTTCTATGTAGTCATCCCTTAGACTCAGATCTTATCTATATGGTTAAGGCCAAAGCTTAGTTTCTCTTGCTGTTAAAAGGCCATCAATTACATTGCAGACAGCAAAAATCACGGCAAGGGAGTGACTTCGTTCTGCTTTGAATTTTTTTGTGATTGCCATGTCATCTCCTGGATATGTATATGTTCCTGGTTTTCTTCTTTATACTGGAATACTCAAATACATTGAATATGTGCAATCAATATGAACCTTTATTTTTCTGAAATTTACTTGTGTACTTTGATGCTTTAATTCATGAATCTGGTGTATTGCAATTTAGGCAACTTCAGTGGCTTATTAAGATTCTTGTGATCCCGTTTGTGCATTGATTTTTTCCTGTTGCTACTTATACCTTGTGCTGCCATTCTAAAAGCTTTATTATGTGCTGCATTAGGGGTTAATAGTAACTTCAACATGTTAGTACCTAGCAAGAGTTGAACCAACTGTAAACCATACCATTGGAGAGGAAATACGTCAGTCTCGCTTGTTCTCTTCCAGTTCTTCTAGTTTACTGATGTCATACTATATAGTTTGCCCTGCCAAATGGAGTCCTTTATCCTCAATGCTACCGTATTGTTCTTTTTTTCCCCTTGTCTGCATTGAGGTTATGTACATAAATACTTTTCACCAAACTAATAAGTTACTTTCTTGATAGTATTCTTCATTTCTTCTTCCACTACTTTTTCTGGGAATCGCCATACTTGCTGGTTCTGCGAGAGTATCTGGGATGTTGCAATAATGTAGTATATATTAGTCAGATATCTGTTCCACCGCTATGTAATTCCTTCTTGATTATGCTTTTCCATATGATGATGCAAACCAGTCAACTGCCTTTGATTTCCTACTAGTTTAGGAGGAGTCTGATTTTAGGGTACTGAAGTGTACTCAAATTGATTTTTGTTTTGTGGTTTCCATTCCCACAGTAGAAAGAAAAGCTTTCCCATCCAAACATTCGCAACAATCAGCCTGCTCTCGTCTAAAGCCATTGAAGAAGTGAAGAACAACAAAAGGAAGCTTAACCATCGAAATATTTGGCGATTTTGCAGTATAGTTGAGTGAATAACATTCAGGAAGTCTCGTGTGCTTGGTAAATTATGTCAGACACAGAATATATTCCACTTTACAATGCGTCTTTAAACGTACAATATTTTAGTGTATTTTAGTGTATTTTGCCATTTTTCAATCAACCAGGGAATGTGTGTACTCCACTTTCTCCCAACTGTGTTTTGCTCCCCTACGGTCTACTTTAATGAGTCTAAGAACAAAGTTAATGCAGAAGGGGCGGCCAAAAAACCACCAGAACACTGAAAGGGTCGGTTAGCTTCATGCTGCCCAAATACCTTTTCCTCCCATTAACTTAGCGTAGCTATGCAGCAGACTACAGAAGATGCCCTATATAAACAAACACCATCAACGAATCTACAAACCCGTTACATTATCTTCATCCAGATCGGTCTCAATTCCTCGGGAAAAAATCAGTGACTAGACATATAAAGGAGAAATGGAAGAACAAGTTGAAATGGTTGGAAGGGCATTTGTTGATCATTATTACAACTTGTTTGATAAGGATAGATCTTCACTAGCAACTCTGTACCAACCAAGTTCCATGCTTACATTCGAAGGCCAGAAGGTTCAAGGTGGTGATGATATTATCAGGAAGCTGGTTGAATTGCCATTTGAGCAATGCCAGCATGCAATCAGCACCATTGATTCCCAGCCATCTTCTTTTGCTGGTGGCGTCTTGGTGTTTGTTAGTGGCAGCCTCCAGCTGCTCGGAGAGGATCATTCTCTGAGGTTCAGTCAGGTATTAACTATACCTTATATTTTTTATTTTTATTTTTTATTAAGTACTTCGTTAACTGCGTTTAACTCTGATACCAAATGCATCGAAATTTGTTTTGAAGATTAAAAAATGTATGTTCATTTTCAAATCTGGTGATTAAAAAGCACAATCTATTAATTTGGTGCAGATGTTTCACTTGATCCCGACTGCAGAAGGAATGTTTTTCGTACTCAACGACATATTTCGCCTCAATTACGGTTGAAAATATGGTTCAAACTTCAAATGATGAGCATTGATTTATCATAAGTCTCGTTACAGCTCCACTGGGGAGGAGGGATCAATTCACTTTATGACCATCAGTTATCCCTTTTAGTTTCTTTTAGCAGCCTGAGGACAGAGTTAATTGATGGCATGTTATTCTTTGTTCGTCTTTGCAGTTGCAAATTATTTGAATATGGTTCAGGTCATATGAATGATATAATTCAATTGATTAACTAATTTTGCAATGAAGAGATTTGCATACTCTACCATGACTGAAATCATTTAGCCGATCGGCATAGACATTTTTTTGCTTGAAGTGATCGGATTTGGTTCTGCTCCTGTCGGCTCGTTCGTTGAGCTTTCACGTCTCGACGATCAAGTCGTCAATTTAAAATTTAAAATTTGAATTGGTTCTTTCTCATTTTCTTTACATGACTCTTGCTTTATCATCTTTGTAATAACCAGCCAGATTTCTAATCTCAAAGCCGACGTGGATTGTTAGAACCAATTCAATTCATCAAACCAATTTTACTGTTTCTTCAGTTTCTATTGTTAGAACCAAAAGTGATTCTTTTTTAGCCTCCTCATTCTCAATCCTTCAAGTATATATGAACAGATGCGAATGTGACAGTCTAGGAAGGAAACTCTATACAAAAACATTTGAGAAACTCATATAAAATTAGAAACAACAAGTAATTAAAATGGCTTTTTGCACTGGAAAGATCAAATTGGTTTTCAGACACAGCTTCACAGGGCCTAATGAGTTGAAACTACAAGGGCCAACAAAAGCTTCCAACACAAATGCAGGACGTGTGGCAAATTGCCTCACCACCTATCTCTGAATGATTTATCTTCAACATCATAAACTACCAGCTTTACATAATCAATCTGCAACAGGATTTTCCCCATTTTCTTTGAGAAGGCAACCGGCGTGAATGTGTAATTAGCTCTGTAATCACCTCTAAAATTCGACGGGAACTCAATGGCTGTTAACTTAGTCCAAGCACAACTCTGTTCATCAATTGCTGATCCATCATAATCCTCCATCAAATGTATGTCTCCAACTAGTCCAGGTGGCCCTCTTAGGGTGTTGAAACAGCGGAACAAAGAAAGGCGGCCATTCAAAACAACCAACTTTCTCTCAAGAAAGACATTCCTCCAATATGGTTTGGTGGGAAATTGGCCACAAGAAATTTTGCCGGAACTCCTCTGTTCCAAGATCAAAGACAACGATTAAGTGCTTGTTAAAAGGTCCGTGTTCTCTTAAAAACCAGTGTAATGCACCGTTTAGAAAAGCATAATTCTCAGGCAAGCAGCCGTAGTAGTATTGGGGCTCAGGCAGATGTAACGGAATAGAATCCTTTGTTTTCTTCCAGGACTTCAGCTTCAAGCTATAAACGCACAGTTCATAGAGATTATTCAAATCGTGATGATAAGTTTACCATCTCACCTCTTTGAAGTCCTGATTGCTGTGTTCATACCCAGATGCAACACCTTTGAAATGTTCAAATGGTGGAGAAGGCATTTCGGAGTACTCTTGAATCCATGGATTCCACAAGGAGACATAACCTTTTTTCTGATTCTGCTGACAAATGATACCATTACAAGAACTCACAAACATAAGCCTGTATCTGCGGAACTTTGAAGGGGGCTTCTTGAGTTCTCCGGTGGCAACCGCCTCGAAGGAGCCAGAACCGTCACCAATTCTGCAAACCGAATCAAAAGCATAAAATCGAGTCCCCTGCGAGACCACAATCTTGCTATCAGAATTGAGGTTGTACTGTAGGGATTTTTTTGGAATGCGCTTTGGTGAAGAAAGGGCTGTCGATCAAATCGCGCCATGATTTTAACGCGCACCTGAATCGAATCAAGGAATCAAATGGTAGCCAGAGAAGCACATTAACAAGCAGATGGTCAGGAATGTGGTCTGACATTTTAGTTGGACTGTTAATTCGGCAAGAAACTATCTATGATCTTATGGTTTCTGGATTTTTGGCCCGGATGAAACAGATCAAGCTCTCATGTGTATTATATATGTGTGTGCAGTACAGTTGTAGAAGCTATGTTCTGATGAGGTCAACTCCGCCAAGTTGATTGACCGACAAACTTGATCTTGAAGAAAAAGGAAGTTTGACTATTGATTCATTATAATTTAGTATAGTTGGATCCCAAGCGAAATATTGTTAAAGTGTATTATCTTACCCCACATCGCCACCATGAAGTGAAGCGACTCAGTATATAAGTTTCAAAGGCCACCCTACTCATTACCAATTAGTTTTGAGATGGAAACCTGAAGTACTTATATACTTTGACATGGTATCAGAGCAGTCTGAGCCTGTGGTGGAGTTTTGGGCCGGAGGTGACCTGTGGTGATTTTCTATTAACCCACTTGAGCGTTGATTCGTGGACTTGTTGTGAACCGATCTAGCTGTATAATTGGTTTTCTCCCACTAGAGCGTTGACTCGTGGGTTTATTGCAGACCAATCCAGCGGTACTCCCTCCATTTCAAAATGTAGGTCGTTTTAGGTTTGGAGAAATATTTTAAAATATAAGTCATTTTAGGATTTCAAGGTAAATTAAAGATAACTTTCCAACTTTGTCTTCAATAAATGATACTAACAACTTTTCATCTAGTTTTGCTTATAGTCTCAAAACAATTAATGAAGAACAAAATAAACATTTACCACATAAATTAATCATTAAACGATTGTCTCCTTAATTTACGTGTAGAGACTAAAAAGACTTACATTTTGAAATGGAGGAATACTTAAAACAGGGTGGTTAAGGAAATGATTAAAAAAACAATGTAAGACTAGTTTTACGAATTGAAGTTAGAGAAGAACAATAACTTATTTCAGTTGTGCAGTAAATCTGCTCCCTGGGTGTACATAATGTAACAACAATTAAGAAGAGAGGTAATAGAAACATGTGCATTTTAAATGAAGTTAATCTACACGGGCCAAAATTCGCACGGTTTAATCTAGAAGTCACTTTTAGCGTTCGAGTTTTAAGTTTTAACCTCACCGGGATAATTATCCAAGTGTTATTATATTACATTCTGAAATATGAATCCATGCAATATTTTGCTATATTGCTGGCAGCCTCACATTCAGTCTGCTGAGCCGGATTGACTGATTGAGTGAGGAACTATTCGAAACACAGATCAAAAGGCTGAGCAGGTCTATGAATAACAAAACGTGTGTTTAACTGTTTAGACTATACAAAACACTTGTAATTTCAGACATCCATGTGTAAACTGATGCAAATGTCGGACAGGAAGATGCAAAATAGTCCCAAAATTTTTGTACATTTCTTGGAGCGGCAAAACAAAATTGGAAGCTTTCTCTTGTATCAATATTCTTCGAAATTATTGCACCAACGGACCATCAATTCATCTGGTTGTTGATACTCTCTCCGTTTCAAAATTATTATTACTAATAATCAAACTCTTTCTCTTTAATATTCTTCTTCAACCATATCATTATTACATCAAGTACAAACCTATGTACCAAGCATTTGTACTTTAAGTTGTTTCGGGAATCGGGATAAGTCGCCACTATAATTAACATCACCTTTAGCATTGCAATCTTGCATGTGGTGGCGTTGACTAACTCACTCTGCTAGATGGACCGGAATTTTGATCAGCTGAACTGGAACTTCAGGGCAATTATTAATCACAGTTAAGTTAATTAAGCTTTAATTAGTGAGTGTGAATATACAAATAATATACTGTAAGATCTATGTGGACTTTATACACTAATATATATAATTGTATGTTATAAGCTATCATAAAATACTAGCCCACATAAAGTGATCTAATTAAATCAACTAAAGTTTGGGCTGATTATAATAATTAAGTTATAAGGTGTGGCCCAGTATTGTGTAGAAACCCTAAGGCCCAGTTTCCTGTTCTGTGATGGGTGGAACTGGAAACCTTATTATATATTGGTTGTGGTCCCCGGACGTCATGCCAAATCTTCGACTCCCCATTTGTCAGAAGTTCCCACAAGGGCTTGACGGAATCATCTGGAAGACTAAACCGGATCGACATTCTTGCCGCTACAGATTAAGGTACGCTTCCGCTTTCGTATAGTTCTCAATAATTTGATGTGAAGGTCTCGACAGTATTTGGATTATTCCAACAAGTGGTATCAGAGCAACCTTCATGTCGATTATTGGGAAATTGGGAAATTCGATTATTAATATTCTCTTTAATTGTTTGTGGTATACTGTTGATGCCTTTAATTTTGGAGTTTACCGTTGCACCTGCGCAGTAATTAAACGGCGTCAATGGTATTTTGGATATATGATAATTTTTTGTTAACTTATAACGCATTAAAATTGATTCCGTTCCGGATTTGGTTCAAGCTGTTGAGGTATACAGTTTCCGTCTTGAATTTTGGCTTCGGTATTTGGTCAGGAAATCAATTTTGATTCCATTCGTTAATCAAATATTGTTATTAAGTCACTTTAGTTTAATCGGTAATTTTTTTTTTATTATTATTATTATTATTATTTTTGTGTTTGGTTATATGCATCACACGTATTAGTGCACTCAAGTTCATCTAATTTAATATATTAGATTAGTTAACCAATTAGCACCAAGGGAAAACATGGACGTAAATGCATATGCACTAGTAATTCAGTAACTTGGATTGCTCGTTTATACAAATTTGTGTTTTGAGAAAATTGATTTTGTTCCACAAGCCATTCAGGTTATTTTGGTTTGGGGGACCAATTATTTTCTTCAATTAGTTTTGAAGATATAAGTCAAGTAGGGTTATTTTGGCTAGAGTCGGTTTTTGCCTTCAAGGATTTACAAGTTCAGCTTTCGGTTTCGGTAATCAGTTTGGTTTATGAAATCAAATTGGCCATTTAAGTTTACGAAGCCGTTCAGTTTTGGTTTCGTTTTGGTTCATGATCAATTTCATTTCATAAAATTATTTGGATACGATTCAATTTTGATTCGCAATTGTTTATAAATTTTGGTTACAATTTCACAAATTGGTTGTGCATACTTTGGGTTTGAGGTTTTGTTTTCTATATGAAGCAGAACAGTTAAACTAAAGTTTTTTTTTATTTATTTTGGACTGTATTCGGTTTTGTGCTTCCTTACTATTATGATCAAGTTGTGAACATTAAAAGTGCAGTTTCGTTTGGATGATCAGATCATACATACGTGCACTCCAATGAAAGATTCTGGGGCAAATGTAAGTTTTGAAAATTGAAGGTATCAATACTCAAGTCCATTTTTGGTGCAGTTCCATTTAGGTCGTTAATCAAGTATTAATTTGATCTTCATTTTTTGACACATTTTAATTAACTTTGGCATATTTTGGTTGGTCTCAGTGGCTAATTTTTTGTTTGGGCAAATATTTGGTTTTGCTGCGGTTCGAATTTAAGGCTTTAGTTTTCTAATTTTCGATTATGAAAAGGTTTAGTTTTTAGTTTTGGTTCGATTATAGCTGCCTAACTTCAGATTTGCACATACTGATTTGTTTAGGCTTCTAGCTGAAATTTTGTTTTTAGTTTTGGTCAACTTTTAGTTGATTAAACAAAATTTAGCTTCGCCCGAAATACTTTAGGGTTACAGTTTAACATGACATAAATTTAAATATGGCATAAAGAAAACTTATTTCCGGACATCTAGTATCATTTAAATTGATTGATTAATACAATATGTCACCAAAGTGACCTCTTTTGTGTTGATTAATTAATTTAGAATACAAAGATGACAGTTATGTGTGTTTTGATTTCATGCGGGTAATGATCGGCCCAAAGGAAGATCGTTATTTGGCCAAAATTAAAACATTCTTGTGGTAATAAATATGTGATAATTATTATGATTATTCAATGTGAATAATAAGTCGGTCCAAAGAAAGGCTTATTATTTGATAGGACTGAATTATCAATATTTGATTACTACACCAAGAGTACCACTTGCAAATTGATGTTTCTGTCCAAAGACTAAACCCAATGTTGCACTAGGTATCTTGTAAATGGGGAACGCCAATTTGAATTTATTAATCATGTTATATTAAGTTTTAAATGTGAGTTTGTGTTTTGGTTATTTTTTAATACAGTTGATTCCACTATTTTGGTTATATCTGCTTTAGTTAACTCCGTTAAGACTTTCAAGAACTAGCAAGAAACATTAAGGAAAATTAAGGAGTACGGTATAAAATAATACAAACATGTTTCTATTATAAAATATTTTGTCAAAACAATAAGGCGGGAATGAATACTCTTTCAAGAGATCTTGCTTTCATAAGGTATAAGGAAAAAGGGAACATACAAAATTGTATTATTCAAGGTATCATCTCGAACTAAGGCTAAAGACACTAAAGTGAAAGCTGTCTTATGACTTTTTCGTGCAATAAGAATCGATCTCTCTCATACACAGTGAGATTCGGTTAAGAACAATTTTACTGTTATTAAGTAGAATGGACTCTTAATGGGTTCATTTCATATTGTGTACAAGAAGGGAGATTAAAGTAAGAGATGAATATACATTTGGAAAATAAAGAAGAATCAATAAGTGCTCAATTAAGTTTAAATCATTTAGAAAATAAAGAAATAGGAAAGAAGGATAATTAAGTTGCAATATACAGTATCACAAAAGAAGCAAAATTAGGAAATTAAATTTGGTTGCTACTTTTGTGGTGGTGCTTCAATTGTTTAAGGCACTTGCTTTAGACAATTAATAAAGTTAGTCAGAATTCCACTTGACTTATCGATTTTAAAATCGAGTTAAGTGCGATAAGCAAAACAAACAAACAAAATAAGATTGGGTGGCATAAGATTTTCAGATGTTGTTAGAACTAATACATACGGATATATGTAAACCATTCTTTACGGTCTTCTTTTAGAATGGTCAAGCATATTGTATTATGTTCACAAACAACTTCCTGTGGCTACCTCTTTACCATTACGAGAAGTACTATGGTCTAAACTTGTTCAAAGTTTTAAGACTAAATACATTTTATAAACTAATTAAGTATTAGGTAAACTATGTCTAGGGTCTGGTCAAATTTCTTAGTGAATATGGTATGTCATATAGTATCACTATGCCGAAAAGTATTACTATTAATGGTGTTATTATTAGACGAATTCGGAAACTAAAGAATCGACTAAGTAGTATGACAAGCTCTACAACTTAGTTAAACTCACTAAAAGAAAAAAGACATAAAAGACTGCAACTTAAAGATATGACAGTGTTCCAACTAAAGCAACAATCCTTGTGGATTATGGACATGCAAATAAGCTAACTAAAGGCATTTTCATATTTTGAGTTATCCGCTTAAGGCAAGGCCGCATAGGTCTACAGAAACGAAACTGGATTCGGTTTGTTTTTTGTTGGATACACTAAAACATAATAAGTTCTAAGATCCAAAAATAATCCTTCTTTTAGACAGGAAATATATAGTTTCTTGAGAATATTGAGTTTGGAGGGGAAGATAAGGTCAATGACATTGTCTTTAAAGGGAATATTTTTCTATTCATTTGGTAATTTAAGATAGTGTTAAAACTTTCCCTCATCAAGACAATTGTAAAGGACAAACTCAACAATCTCAAGTACGGATGCCATTAAGAGATTCCAAAGAAGAGAGAAGAAATATAGTTACGATTAATGCCATAAAATAAGTAAATACAGTAATTGATAAAAATAACGTTTAGGTTCTTTCTCATCACCCAAAGGTGATGTAAAAAGATATAAGAGTTATTTTCTCAATAAAGAATTTAGTCATAAAGATGGTATTATCTTATAGAGACTCTTTAGTATTATTAGAAGTCCAAATTTTAAGACATTCTATAATGGCATATATGGTACATTTTATATTTAGGTTTCATTAGATGGATATTAAAAGATTGTTTCTTAATGGCGACATTTTGAGACAATTTATTTGGTGCAACCGGAAAACTTTGTTTGATGGTTTGCAAATTAAAGAATTCCATCTGAGGACTTAAAAATGTTTCTTGTTAATAACTCAAGTACTTTTAAGTTTTCATCTCATTTGGTTTTGAGGTGAATATTGTGATCATTATACACATCACAATTTCAGTGGGAGTTTAAAGCAGATACTTAGTAATAAATAAATAAAACATTCAGATTTAGATATTTAGTAGCAGCTACAAGGTTACACGGAATCATTAAGACATTAAAGATTACACGCTCACATATCAAAGTTCGGTCAAGTTAGAGATCATTCAGTATCCCAACTTTGATTCAGTTTAATTGTTGATATTGTCACAAGACTGCAAATACAGTATGGTCTTAAAAGACTACTTAAGTTTTATGTGACAATAATGCAACAATTCAGATACTCTAATAACAATGAACATTAAGTTCTTAATTGTTAGATTTAAGTTCATAATGAACAAATTTTTAAGGAGCACATTCGGACAAACTCCAATATCAAGTAGTTCATCTATGCATTTCTTCCGGTACAGTTGTTCATCAAAGATAAATGGCGAAAAACTGTTCTTGATATCTTCTTCTTCTTCTTCTTCTTCTTCTTCTTCTTCTTCTTCTTCTTCTTCTTTTTATGAGTCTTGCTTTATCATCTTTAGCGACCAGCCAGATTTCTGATCTGAAAGCTGCCGTGGATTGTTAGAACCAATACCATAATCAAACCGAACTTACAGTTTTTCAGTTTTTATTGTTAGAATCAAATTTGATCGTTTTTAGCATCTTCATCCTCAATCCTTCAAGTATATATGAACAGACGGAAGGTGACAAAGTCAATTAAATCAGATGGGAGCTCAATGGTCATTGTCTTAATCCAACAGCACCTCTGACCATCATCACCTCCCGACCCACATTCTTCCATCATTTATATTTCCCCAATTGGCCTAGATTCTTCTGCTGCGGTGCAGAAAAGGCGAAACAGAGAAAGGGAGCCGATCAGAGAAACCAAATAGAAGGGCAACGGCCTATTCTCCGGAACTCCTCTGTTCCGAGATCAAAGGCAACGAGTACTTGTTCTTTAAGTCTTCTGCAATTTTGTGCAGTCCAGTAAATAGTATCTTTTGGAAAAGCAGGATCCCCAAGGAAGTAGTAGCCTGAACCTGAAGGCAGGTCTAACGGAATGGAACCCTTTGTTTGCTTCCATGAATTCTGCTTCAAGCTATAAATACACAATTCATAGTTGGGATGCATTTTTACAAAGAAATCAAACCGCGCCATGATTTTGAAACGCGCCTGAATCGGATCAGGGAATCAAATGGAAGTCTGAGGAGCACATTAGCAAGCAGATGCTCAGGAATGTAGTCTGATAACATTTTAGTGGGGGGTATCCATTAGGCTAACCATATAACTATGTATATATATATATATATATATATATATATATATATATCTATATGATCTATGGTTATTGAAACAGATCAAGATCACATGTGTTATTTATATGGATATACGTAGGACAGTTTGGAGAAGGTATTGTGTCTGCTAAGGTCAACTCCTCCAAAGTTGGTTGATTGATAGAACTTGAGCTCGAAGAGAAACAAAAAAAAGAAGGGATGTTTGTTGTAACTTGGAGCCCAAGCGGAATATGCCACCATGTCACAACATTAAATATTGTTGTTTGTTGGAGGGAGATGAGTAATCACATAAATCAGGAATGAATAAAGTGTCCTGCTAGCTGTTAGCATTCTTTTATTTTATTTTTTATTTTTTCTTCTTTTACCTCCGTTTGACTTTCTCGTCGAGTTTTGCAACTCACGACAAAGCCGACGGGTTTTAGTTTCCTTCCTGTGCAGTTTGTTTGTCGAACTATACAGTTTATGAGAAACAAGTAGACGGTGTTGCATTCTACTTACGTGACGATTTCTTACCCATTAATTGTTATAGTCACTAGTATAGTATCGGGCATTACCTAAAATCGAAACGTGTGTTGATCTTTTGAGGTAAGAATGACCATTTACAAAATATGAGTATCAGGAAAAAAATCAGTCATTTTTCAGTCCTTAAAAAAAAAAAAAAAAAATCAAACTTTGTCGGAGATTTGGCCTGAATTGGGTTAACAGGATTAGTTTGTATGATCTTTTCCTCTTTGAGAACAACAGAGACGAACATTGCATCCAAATATACGTCAGACATGGAAAAACTCCTAAACGTAGAAACAGGATTTTGCCGTTTATGATTCTAGAACTGTAGACCAACTAGGCAAAGGCTTCTTGAAAAATTAACACTGCCAATGGAGCAATTAGACAAACTTCCTATGAGATGTTTAGTTTGATAACTTTCAGAATCTTTGAAATCCTTTCTGCTATGAAAGTAAAACAGCAAATAAGTACGGGTAGGATCCAAATAATCAACAACATTAGAATTGATCTGTTTTATTCTGAGACAGGACCCAGTAAAAAGAGTTTAATCACAAGGGCCAACAAAAGCTTCCAACACAAGTGCAGGAAGTGAAACAACTCGCCTCACCACCTATATCCACATCTCTGAATGATTTATCTTCAATATCATACACCACCAGCTTTACATAATCAACCTGCAACAGGATTTTTCCCATTTTCTTTGAGAAGGCAACCGGCGTGAACCTGTAATTACATCTGTAATCAGCTCTAAGATTTGAAGGGAATTCAATGGTTGTTAACTTTGTCCAAGAACAACTCTGTTCATCAATTGATGATCCATCATAATCCTCCATCAAATATATGTCACCAACTAGTCCATAATATTGCCCTCCTAGTACTACGGCGTTGAAACAGCGGAATAAAGAAAGGCGGCCATTCAACACAACCAACTTTCTCTCAAGAAAGCAACCCCTAAGATATGGTTTGGTGGGAAATTGGCCACAATAAATTTTCCGGAACTCCTCTGTTCCAAGATCAAAGGCAACGATTAAGTGGTTGTTAAAAGGTCCGCGCTCTCTTAAAAACCAGTGTAATGCACCGTTTAGAAAAGCATAATTCTCAGGCAAGCAGCCGTAGTAGTATTCGCCCTCAGGCAGATGTAACGGAATAGAACCCTTTGTTTTCTTCCATGACTTCAGCTGCAAGCTATAAACGCAGAGTTCATAGCGACTATCGAAATCGTCATAAGAAGTAGTCCATCTCACCACTTTGAAGTCATCATTGATGTGGTCATACCCAAATGCAACACCTTTGAGATGTTCAAATGGTGGAGAAGGCACTTCGGAGTGCTCTTGAATCCATGGATTCCACAAGGAGAGATAACCTTTTTTCTGATTCTGCAGACAAATGATACCATTACAAGACCCCACGAATTTGAGCCTGTATCTGCGGAACTTTGAAGGGGGCTTGTTGAGTTCTCCGGTTACCGCCCTGAAGGAGCCAGAACCATCACCAAGTTTACAAACCGAATCAAAAGCGTGAAATCGAGTCCCCTGCGAGACCACAATCTTACTGTCGGAATTGAGGTTGATGTACTGTAGGGATCTTTTGGAATGCGTTTTGGTGAAGAAAGGGCTGTCGATCAAAGCGCGCCATGATTTTGACACGCACCTGAATCGAATAAGGGAATCAAAGGGTAGCCTGAGAAGGACATTAACAAGCAGATGGTCAGGAATGTAGTCTGACATTTTAGTGGGACTGTCAATTAGGCAAGAAACTGTATATGATCTATGGTTTCTGGATTTTGGGCCCGGATGAAATAGATCAAGCTCTCATGTGTATTATATATCTATGCGTGTGGGGTACAGTTGGAGAAGCTACTGTCTGATGAGGTCAACTCCACCAAGTTGATTCACAGATATACCTTGATCTTGAAGAAAAAGAAAGTTTGACTATTGATTCATTATAATTTATTGTACTTGGATCCCAAGCGAAATATGCCAACTAATTAAAATTCGGCTTTTTAAATTTACGTGGAATCCTAGGAAGTAAAAGAGGGTGGTTAAGGAAATGATAAAAAAAGAAAAAGAAAAGAAAATGTAATGTGATTCTTGGCGCAAGTTGAAGCAAGAGAAGAACTATAACTTATTTCAGTTGTGCAGTAAGTAATCCTGCTCCCTGGATGTACATAATAATATAACAACAATTAAGAAGAGAGGTAATAAAACAAGTGCATTTTAAATGAAATAAATCTACACGGGCCAAAATTCACAGGGTTTAAACTAGAATTTACTTTTAGCACAGTAGTTTAAACTACTACTCCCTCGTCTCATAATTATTGTCCAATTTGAGTTTTCATTTCTAATTCAAATTGTACTAAAAGTGAAATCTCAAAGTGGACAATAATTTTGAGACAGAGGGAGTACAACTTATTGCAGACAATGCTTAAAATTTAGGCCTTCTCTTCAAGCGTTGGAAGTGAAGTTGAAGTTGGAACATGTAGTTTGGTGGAACAGGAGTGTTGAGCTAAAACCAAGCCTGGATCTTCCCAAATCAAACTCCAAGAGATTATCCACAATCTGGTGCTGTCCGATCACGATCGAAGTCTCCGGATCCACACCTCCATCGACAAATCCCAGGCACAAAACATCTTTTTTCACACTCACCATTGAATTAAAACCAAAAATCCTCCAAGCAACATCTGAATTTTGGAACACAAAATCGATGACTGGAGCAGGAGGACCAACTCTGGTGGTACCTAAGTTGCTCGAGTTATAACACAGTCCAAAAGGCGCGACTGATTTGACTCTTGGAACTCCCGAAAAAGCCTTGGCAAATGCCTTGGTAAAACTCCTGTGGATTGTACTCTCCATCACTGTGTAAGGAACCACTGTGCTGATTTTCGTTCCACCATGTCCTTTCTTGATTGCCAAAAGTGTCGAATTTATCGACACGGGTTTCCCGGACACTAAAATAGACTTCAACCCGACGAAGTACTCGTCAGAGGAATCCCCTAAATAATGAGCACCGGCAGTGCTGACAGGATTGATGAGAAGTGGAGTATAACTGAGTGAGTTGGTAACATTCTTCCCTTGAAGAAAATTATATGGGCTGTCACCGAAGAAAATAACGCCGGTTGAGCCTAAACAGACTGCAAACTTTCGACTGAATCTGAAAGCTATGGCTAATTGTGTTGGAAAACCAATCCACCCCCTGCCTAGACCCGCGATTCCTTTCACTCCATTAGCAAGACCTTCCACCAGGAATGAAGATCCACAAGTTGATACCACTTGTTTTGTTGTCACTTTACGGCCTGGATTTGATCCATCAGTGGATTGGACTGACAGAACATCTGTAAAAAGCTCTCCAATTGTACTAGAGTGAGTTATGCTGTTATATGGAAAGGTGCCGCATGTGTAATTGTTGCAACCTGGTCCGGGGCTGAGGAAACAAAGCCTTTCACTACAGGCCTGAGATTTCGAGCGAGATTTAGAATCGGATCCCCAAGAACACTGGGGAGTGCCGCAAATCGCAGGCTTATAAGATGAACTAACATAGCCCTCGTCGCAGTTTACCCACAAAGTTTGGCCTCCGAGGTCTATAGTTAGTTTGACAGGAATAAGAGGGGTTCTTTGGCTGATCTGGGTGATGTATTGTCCTGAGGATGAATCCTTAGTTATTGGAAGCACAATAGCCTTTGGCCTAAAAGAGTTTGTTTTTTGGGAAGCTACGGTTGAGGAAGATATGATCAGGAAGTTAAGCAGAACAAATAGGGAAGAAGCAAGTAATCCCATTGTGACTGAAGTTGGTTGAATTGAAGTGAGCTAGATGATGCTGTATGTATGTACCAGAGTACTTACTATATGTAAGAATAAAATGGAGGAACTTCAAGTTCAATGGTCTACTTGTTTGGGCTCGTTTTTCTAGGTCTAATCTGCACGTGAAATTATGGAGTTCCTGCGCAATATCAGTGATAATTATGACAGCTTTCAACAGTAGTCCAACTTGGACTGGCTTTATGATCATATGCCATATTGGGCAAGTTTTGGAAGATTTCAGTGGGACAACCCAATTATTCCCAACCATTTTAAATTAGCTAGATACAGAACCGGAATAGCTCTAGTAAGAAAAGTTATACTTCCTTCGTCCTGATTCTAATTCAAAATTATACTAAAACTGAAATCTCAAAACTGGATAAATTTTGAGACAATGAGAGTATAAAGTGGCGTAACCCATCCTTGTGGATTTCTAGTAGACTTGCTGTGGTCAGCTCGATTTTCTATCAAGCTCGAACTGGGTCAACTTCAAGTCCCAATCAATCTCTTTTGGAACAGTGCAAAACCTCACTCTGCTGTAATATGATTAATTACTCTATATGCAAAGCAAATTTCCAGTCTGAATATCTAGTGTTCATTAGTGATTACAAATAACCAATTTAACTGTAAGCCAAAACTCTGTTATGTTGATAACCTCACATTAAGCCTCCTGAGCCAGATTGAGTGAAGAACCATGTGAAACAAATCAAACGGCTGAGCAGGTCTATGAAGAACAAAATGCCTTTGTACCGACAAAACATTCTTCTGCAATTTCAAGTACTCCTCCATGGAAATCCCTTTCAAGACCGTCTTAATTTCTGGAATCCTGGAAACCGGAACATGCACTGAGAATTGCTTCCAATCAAGAACATCACTAAATGGCAAAACATAACCAGCTGATAGTATTACAGGAACACATCCTGTTGATATTGATTCGATTATCCTCGGACTTGCAACTTCATACCCACTAGGACATAAGCAAAATTTTGCATTTTCCATCATTCCTCTGTAACTTCTTCCATGGGGCAAGTACTTATGAACTTCGATTTCGGCATCTTTGTCCTTCCAGTATTCAAATAGCCTTCTCCTTATATAACCATGAGCTCCACCAGCAAAGAAAGCAAGTATCGAACGTTGATTCGGGGGCCGGCCGGGGACAGGGACCCGAAGCCCTGATGGAGGGACACTGATTTCTGGCAATGACACATCTTTATTTGGTTTAAATCCTTCAGAAATGTTTGCATTGCAAAGAACCCTGATCAGATTATTGGACAAATGGTTGGATGTTGGTAGGACAAAGGGTGCCCAATCATGACAACCGACAAAGAAATGATCTGCGCCATTGCTTCTATTCCAGTAATCATACCTCTTTGATAACACATGAATGTAGTCCTTCACCACGTTGTGAAACTGAGTTAGGCCATATTCACGGAGGGATGCATAAGTATACTGTCTGATGTGAGTGATTCCGATTGGGAGGAAGAATGCGGCGGCTTCATCAGGAGATTTTGCTAGGAATGATGAGCCATTGTTGTTTTCAAGTTCATCTATGAACTGGCCTTCAATTGAGTAGAGGAATATCATTGGTGAAGAGTGAAATAGTGGGGGTTCTCCTTCCTTGTACACCCATATTTTGAACCTTTTCTCCATTTCAATGTAGCTCCTAAACATACAATCATAACATCTTTCGTCAATATTATGAATATAATACTAACATTTGGACATTAAAACATTGCAATTCTCTGCCTAACTCTGCTCAATGTTTGGAGAATGATAGGCATGAAAAGTACATATATAAAAAAAAATTTGCCACATAAAACAAAAAAAAAAAATACAAAAGAGAGTATCGTAGTATAGTGTAAACCTTCTTTTAATCATTTTGTGGTTAATTATTCATAACTCATACCAAGAAATACATACATACGTACATACATATATATATATATATATTTATATATATGTAATAGAAGGAATGATCATAACTCAAGATCCATATATTAACCAGTTTGCGCTGCCTCGTCACACAAACTCAGTCACATAAAAGTGGACAAACATGACGAAATTCCAAAAGAAGAGTCGTACTTGTTAAACCATACAAATAGGACCATCATTGATCATGAAAAGCGTATGAAATTTCAAAAATGAAAAGTGAAAAAAAAAAAATGCTCACTGGAAAAATGCATGAGGATTTATGTAAACGGTTCCCGTCGGGATGAACGTTCCGTTTTGCTCCGAAACATGGCGTTCATGCCTTCTCCTTCTTGCTGCTTTATAAATGCTTGCCCGAGCTCTAGCCAAACTATCTTCTATTCTCCTTATACTGTTGCTATCCTGCAACAATAGTTTCACCACACACAAAAAAAATATAATAATAATAATAACAGACAAATCATTTCTATACTAATTAATTAAGAATTGTGGCTATAATTGATAGAGTTTCTTACCTGAAATTTGTGACTGGAATTGATAGGAGATTTAGTGGAGGCAAATTTCTCAGTGGAGAGGCAAAGGGAATATAAAAGGAGAAGAAGTGCTAAGAAAATTAAGAAGTTGCGAGCAAAATGAGCGATGGGGTTATTGGAAATGTCCATTGATTAATTGTTTCCAAAACACACATCTGCATCTCCTCCTTTTTCTTGTGGTTTTGATCGGGATGAGAGAATTATTATCATTTCTTTTTTTTTTTTTCAGACTTTGAATTCTACGGATATTACTGCAAAACAAATTTCAAGATGAGATAAAGCATGCTAGTGTGGCGGGAATGATTTTTTTTTTTCCTTCTTATTTCGTTTTTTTTTTTTTTTTTGTTTTAGAGAATTTAAGATGAACTTTCAAGATATGCATATCAGGTGGTTATCTAACTAATAAAGAACTGTCATTTTTTATTTTACAGTGGAAAAACAATTTTTTTTTTTTTTGAAGGTTGTGGGAAAACAAAATTTGGTAAAAAGCTAGTTTTAATTAGTCATATTGATTGATGAGTTAACAATTGTTAATTTACCCCCACAACATTTTGTAGCGGTTGTTTGGATAATCTTCGTGAACCCGATTGCAGGAAACAAACCGCAGTTTCATTTCCACCTGCTGAATTTTGGTAAAATTCAAAGAATTATCTCTTCAATGTTATTTATGATTCATCATGTTCATCGATAAATGATCATGGTTTTCATATATATCAAGTTATTTGCCGGTAATCCCCCCATATTTGTAAAAAACTTACAAACAACCCCGTGCTTTTGAAAACTACGGATAACCACACCTCCTTGCGCCAAAATTTCTTCAAGTTAATCAGGATTGAGTTTTGAGGAGGATAGCGATCTTTAATATTTTCCGTTCCACTTTACATATTATGGCAAACAACAAAGGGGTTTGTTGTAACTTTTCAAAGGCGAAGGAGTTGTCCCTAATTTTCTCAAATCACGGGGTTTAACGTATTTAACCTATGTAATTTTGATTGGAAAAAACATAATAAATTTAGATAATTCAAAAACCTCGGAAAGAAAAGAAGATAATAATGAATGGAGACAGCAAACTAGAATAAGAGAAAGTTCTCAGAACTGCTTCCTAAGTAAAGCAAATAAAGATCATGCGGAGGGAGGAAAAGATGGGGTATAATAATAATTCAAGCAGTTACCAAATCCCGTCGTTTCTATATTCAACTATTCTTCTTCTCCTCTTCTTCATCCTTTGGTTCAGCAGTCACAATCATCATCTTCGTCATCAAATCTTTTTTTGGTCTACCATCTCCTCCGCTCTTTCTAACCACAACCACCAGGTAACTAATTATACGTCTACGTAAGCTCCACCTTTTTTTTTTAATTATATTCATCAGTCTTCTCTAAACATTTTTTTTAGGGTTTAATTTTTGTTTTTAGTATATAATGTTAGTTAATTCTGTTTTGGAGGCTATTTTAAGTTTGTTACTACTGTCTCAATTAATACGGTTCATAAAAATTCGAGTGAAGTAGTCTCTTTTGGCATCTTCCAGGGGGCAAAAGAATGTAATTCTAGTTTAGTTAATTTAATATTCAATCCAAATTGCTAGATTTATATCCTACTATATTAGAAACAAAAACCTCCCTTTCAAACACCTCATATGATTACCACGTGGCATGTAGAAAGTACTAAATTGCCCTTTTGTCTAACCATAACAAAATTACTAAATCTCCCTTTGCACTTTACGTAACATGTTTTTTTTTTTTTTTGTATGTTTCATTCAACTAGAGTGGTTTTTTGAATTGAATTGATCAATTAGGTTTTTTGTTACAAAGTGTCAATTTTGTTTTAAGCGTATACCCTTCGGATGAAGCTTATTACAAATCTATTAAAAATCTCCAAAATTAAGTATTGATTTGGCACGACCAATGGAGAACATCAATAAATCATCTTACTAATATTTAAATTTATTAGAATACTTTTATATTTTATCTAACATTTACTTCAACACATATATTCGATTAAGGCTATTTATATTTAATAAGTAACACTTATAAAACATTTCTAAAACATACATGGCGAAATACAATTTTTTTTTTTGCGAAGTACAAATATTTCTATGATCACAGGTATAAAACATTTCTAAATCCTTCAAATATTTCTAAAATATATCGCTCCAAATACGAAATTTTATTTTTTTCAAATATAAACATTTCTAAGATCTACAGATAGACTGGGCCAGAGTCGCGCATTGCACGACCAGACATCACTAGTTTGAATATAGAATATAAAACAAAATAATGATTTTTTAATAGAATAATGTATTTGTTGAACAATGATTTTGTAACAAAAGAGTATGACATATCTTCTTTTCAGTTCTCAGGCAATTTACTTGGAAATGCTTATTGTTTTCAGTACGAAGAAATGTTATATATAAGTGCGACATCTACGTAGAATAAAAATGTGAATTAACCAGTTTGTTCACATGTTGTGGGGGAAAAAATGTAAGCAGAATGACAGTTTATACGACATAGAAGAAAGTTTAGCAAGGGCTCGTGATGCCATCAATAAAGCGGCACGAAGTGGTAATCGATTTGAAGGGTACAAGGATGACAAGGGGTTCATTCCAAGTGGACCAATTTACAGAAATCCTAAAGCCTTTTACCAGTTAAGTATATCAACTTATAATTAATTTTTTTAGAAATTCAATTAATATAGTTCCGCTAGACTTTTTTTTTTATTTGTGCATTAATTTATTTCACGTAATTATCACTATTTATTTATTTATTTATTTATTTTCTTTTCTCTAAAAAAATAAAAATTAATGTCATCATCATTTTATTATTATCATTACATGCATACTCCAGTTTATCATCATTTATGAAGAGGGAGCCAAGGATTGAGTGGCTGTCTTACATTCAGTCACTTTGTTGAGCTATTTTATTTTAATTTAATAAAACGAACTTGTACCTTTTTAATGTTAATTATTGTTAAAATACAGGAGCTATATTGAAATGGAGAAAAGGTTCAAAATATGGGTGTACAAAGAATGGGATGAATCACCATTGTTTCATCAATCATCTGCGAAGTCTGCATATGCCATTGAGGGCCAATTCATTGATGAATTGGAGAAAGGAAACAGCAAATTCCTAGCTAGACATCCAGATGAAGCTGTCACATTTTTCCTTCCAATTGGTGTCACTTACATCGTATTGCTCCTCAACAGGCCCGGACACTATGATTACAATGTCATCCCCACTGTTCTCATGGATTATATAAATGTGGTGTCAAACAAGTACCCGTTTTGGAACCGAAGCAACGGTCACGACCATTTCTTTGTTGGTTGTCACGACTGGGTAAGTTCAACAAAGTAGATTATTAAAATGAGACGGTTTAAATTAGTTATTATAGATTCTCATGTGAATCTTAATTTCTTAATTGTGGTTGTTGAATTGTAGTCACCACAAATATCACGACACAAATCCCAAGTGTTCCAAAACTTGATCCGAGTGATCTGCAATGCCAATACTTCAGAGGGATTTGATCCAGTTAGGGATGCCACATTACCAGAAATCAAAATCCTGGGTCCCGAGTTAGGGCCACCTTTCCTAAGCGAAGATCATGATCCGAAAAATCGGACCATTCTTGCTTTCTTTGCAGGTGGACCTCATGGTTACGTGAGAAATAGGCTCCACGAATATTGGAAGGACAAAGACAAAGATGTTCGAGTCTACGAATACCTCCCGAAAACCCTAAACTACACGGCATTGATGATTGGATCCAAGTTTTGCTTATGTCCTAGTGGTTATGAAGTTGCAACTCCAAGAATCGCGGAATCAATCTTCGCGGGGTGCGTGCCGGTGTTGATTTCTGATGGATTTGTGCCGCCTTATAGTGATGTTCTTGATTGGGCCCAATTTTCGGTGCAAATTCCGGTTGCTAGAATACCGGAAATCAGATCTATATTGGAAGGGATATCAATGGAGAAGTATCGGGAATTGCAGAAGAATGTGTTTCGAGTCCGACGCCATTTCATTCTTCATCGACCTGCTCAGCCATTTGACATGTTCCATATGATTCTTCATTCGATTTGGCTTAGGAGATTAAATAAAAGTTTGGCCAACTAGTTAACTTTTTTTCTTTTTTTGTACCACAATATGTAGTTCATGTTTTCTTACTGTGACACTTGAAATTTCAATTTTACATTCTCATCCCATAATTATGGTCCTATTAGTATTTTTATCTCAAACTGCACAATAATTTCCGGAGGTAGTATTATTTTTATTTCGGATACAATTGCATTGCTTTAAGATAACAAGTAACAACAAGAAGTTATAACCTTTCTAAAAAAAAAAGTTATAAATTCCAAAATGATTGTTCTCATTGTTGCAAATTTGGATATGAAATCCGAAAAGATGAAGATAGAAGCAAACAAATAAACTCCAGAATCTAGAAGATCACATTAACCAAAAAATAAAAATAAAAGAAACATAACTGTTGATCTCATGAGCTAGCAAGCTAGCATGTTGGAAAATCAGGAGGAGGAAGAAGCAAGTTTTGAGAAGGATGATTCCCACCTAAGACAATCAAACCCGTGGCTAAACCCCAAGTTGTGTGTTCTTCAAGATGACAATGTATGAACCAAACCCCTGGATTATCCGCATTGATTCTGAGTGCAGCCCATCCTCCCACTGGAACTGCCACCGTATTCCTCTCCGGCGGATCCACCAGATTGTAACTTAAAGGATCCTTTTCCGGGTCATAATTCCCAAATCCCCTGCCCACAATGAAAAAATTGTGACCATGAATATGAATAGGATGGTTCTCTGGATTCAGGAAATTGGTGTCTTGTAACACAATTTCCAGCGTTGTCCCATAAGGTACGACTATCATTCTTGAACCAAATTGTGTGTTCAAGTTCTCCTTCACTGGATCCACCCCAGTATAATTAAAAGGAAATGGAGGATTTTCAGGGAAACCTGAAAACAGAACATCTGATTTGAGGCTCTTGTAATGACTCTCCAGGATTGAAATGGAAGGCCGGATGAAGGATTGATTGTTCATTGATGCTGAGAACCTTTTGTTAAGATACCCTTTACAGGTTTCATTAGCAGGGCAATCTTGTAGATTCAGGCTTATGGTTGTGATCACTTGTTTCTGGACCTTTTTAGGCACTTTACAAGGGTACTGAAAAGATGCTAGGCTTTTAAGTTGATTTGCGAAATTGGTTGCAAAATTGGTGTCCTCCATGGCAGGGAGATTTTTTGGTAATTTGGTACTATTATAATAAGGTGGCTTTGTTTCTGTTTCTGTGGTTTTGTATCTTAGGAAGCCAATTGTGGTGGAATTGTTGAAGGGGAAAACTGAGGTCAGATAAGGCCTTGCGGCCATAACAAACATTCGGGTGGAATCCGGGTTCTGATTTGCAGTGAGCAACACATTGGTGGTTTGTCCTGGGGCGATCATTATGGCATTTGTGGTAAAGGGTTTTGTATAAACTGCATCAATTTCTACCACCGTCAAACTGTGATTTGCCACCGCGAAGAACAGTTCGTCGTTGAGTGCTGCATTGATTATCCTCAGTAAATATGTTTTTCCATATTCCACTGTCCGTATGAATGTATCTATGAAAAATTATTCCATATAATTAGCAAAAATTAATGCTCCCACCGGCCCAAAATGATTGTCCTGTTTGATCTTTTACTCCTAGTACAATTTGCACAAGAAATGAAAATCTAAACAGAACAATTATTCAGTGAAATAGGACGAAAAATGCAATTTACTCTGATAACCCTTTTTCTTATTGTTTCTCACCTTTTAGAGAGCATGAATACAATGGTCCTGGTAAACCGTTGATGGTGTATGCATCTGAAGAAATAGGACCGTCCCCGGTCAAAATCATTTCATCTTCTATTGACATCACATTTGAATTCCACCACTCACCTATACATAGATAATCATCAAAGGAAAAAGTTTCACTTGTTTTAGAAGACATATTATAATTTCGAAAGAATTTCAAAATATTGTGTGTGAGTAGGAAAAATTGGTTCCCAAAGTTAGAGTTGTGATGTTGCGTACCAAAGATGATTGGAATCTCATCCTGAACTGGAAGGGAGAAAGGGTAAGGCATGCGAGGGTAAATCATGAAAGCCCCATTGACGGTCGCTCGTTGCCAAGAAAAATGCGCATGCCACCAAAGAGTTCCTCTCTGATCAACTATTGTGAATTTGTATGTGTAGGATTTACCAAATCCAATCGGGCATTGAGTTATGTATGCAGGTCCATCTGCCCATCCACTCCTATATTGCCTTATTCCATGCCTATACAACGTTTCACAATGTAAATATTAATTAATAGAACTTCTTCCGTATCCCCCCCCCCCAAAGAAAAAAAAAACAAAAATAGTCCGGAGAATACATATTTTTCACTTAATTCATTTGATGGTGGATTTCACAGAAAAAAAAAACATGAGGAAGTACTAAACAGATCGATATCCAATATGATTTAATTTACCAATGGATGGTGGTGTTCATAGCAACTTGGTTGGTAACCTTCACTTGAACATGATCACCTTCATGAACTATAATAGTTGGCCCTGGATATTCTCCATTAACTGTGAGGATCGACTTTGTGTAGCACAAACGTTTAACATTCTTCCATTTAACCTGAAATTGATATGCACACATTCACTTAAAATAATAATAATAATAATAATAATAATAATTATAATTGCCGTATGAGTATGTATGTGTTTGCTTGTCTGCGTGTCTACAACATTATGTGAGGCAAAACCAACTACAAAAATAACTTACATTAAATTCAAAACGTCTAGTGGTTGATGATACTGAACAAGGTAGAGATATTGTTAGCCAAAAAACCCCAAGGATCAGCAGCAGGAGATGTTGATAGTTTCCCATTTTTTTTAGTGAAGATCGAGTACTCTAGCACCTTCTTAATTTTGAGAGTTAGGAATTGCTTATGATGAATGTTAGGACTTCAACGGCTAAGAGAACTTGAGTAACACCTATTTATACAGACAGGTCGGAACCCTTCTCACGGCAGTTCTTATAATTTCATTCCCGCTCAAAATAATAATTCATTTGTGAAACTAATTTTAACATAAAAAATATTTGATTCCTTTTTTTTGAAATCGAAAAAATATCGTTTATATGATTATTTTCATAAAGGGCCACATCATGACGGAGTTATCAGAAATATTATGGCACTTCAGCTTTCGAGACTATAGGTTGTTAATCTCTATTGATTTTGACAAACAACTTCGCATCAAGTTAATGTTTAACCCTTGTAACATGCATGGTATATGTCACTTTATTTAATTAAAGTCATTCTGGATTAATTTTTTTTCTTTTTGGTATCACTTTGATTGAGCTCAAGAAAATAACGAGTATCTGTTATATCTATGGTTTTAAATCTAGTGGACAGTAATGCAATGTAGCTTATGCCAGATCAGTTTCAAAAACAATAGTTACGCCCTCAACGTCTTACAGAAATAGTTTAGGCTTTGTTTGTTTTGTTTTTTGGATGGTTTTTTCATAATAATAAAATAATAAATGTCCCATCTCAACATCCGTTTTTATATTTTCAATGCACTTTTTTACATTTTCAATAAAAAAATACCTAAAAACACACACTAAAAAAATGAAACAAATATACCCTTACATTTTAGTTAATAAATGAATTATACTGTTTTTAGTTAATTTAATAAATTATATTATAAATCATTTTTTTAAGATAGTGAAAATATTAAATTTATCAACAAATGATCCATGGAAGCCTACCCTGTAGTGGTTCTTTCTTTTTTTTTTCTTTCTCTTTTGTTTTTGTTTTTTTTTTTTTTTTGGTATAGAAATCACAAGGCACATTACAAGATAGCAGAGAGAGAGAGAGAGAGAGAGAGAGAGAGAGAGGGAGAGAGAGAGAGAGAGATTTCAGAGTGTCTAGCGTAGAGTATGATGACCAATCTCCCTGGATGAATTAATTGATAAAAAATTTAAAGCTAATCGATGATATTTATTTGCATGTCTTTGGTAAAGTGAACTAGAATAGTACAGATTGTTCGGCTTGTTCATTCAGTGGAAGACCGAAGGTAGAGGACGTTCAGGCGGCCCATATTTTGGATGATACAAAAATATTCAAATTTGTTGTGCCCAACATGTGAACAATGAAGGAATTGTTTTTTTTTGGGGGGGAAATACTAAATTTGTATTGACTATTCTCTGATGTAAATGGACTGATGTAAATATTTGTTTGGAAGTCAATGCAAGTTTACTGATCCCCCAAACAAAACTAAGGCGATGAAGAAGTTAATTAAAATTAAAATAAAAATATGCATTCTTGCATTACTACACATATGGCAATACAGCTTAGTGGACCTTGCTTCTTTTTTATTTTTTTATTTTTATTTTTTTTGAAATATATAGTATAGTGTTATATTTGAACCCAGGTCTCCATGGCCTCAACGTGGGATTCTTACCACTAAACTAGGGCCACGTTTATTTATTTGATTAAAATTTAACTAATCACATTACGCTAAGTTCCTGTAATTTATTAAATTTGCTTATAAGAAGTTATTATCATACTCAATATATATTATAATTAGGGATTGTGATATAGTTTTTGGTAGTTCTCTCACATTATTTTGACAAAAACTTTAGTTTTTAGTTTCTTTTTCTTCTTTAAATAAACATTGTTGTATCTTTTCGTTTTCTTTTTCATATTAATTTTTTAACATTTATTATGATCTTTTATCACAAGAATTAAATTTTTTAACCTCTTTTATCTTTATTGTTTACTTATGTGATATATGTTTCATATCACTTCATCTTCTGTTCTTTACTACCGGTGTTAAATTTCCTATTCATTTTTCTTCTATTCTTTAATAGTATTAGACTTTTAATCTCCCCTTATTTCCTATAACAACTTCTTCATCAATTTGGTGTTCTTTGGTTTACTTTTAGCATCTATTACAATAGTTTGACTAAAACTATTTAAACACCGCATTTCTAATTGATCTTTTATGTTGGTTTTTTCTCTTCTCCTCTTTTGTATTTATCTTTTGTCTTAGTTTTCTCTCCTTTCTCTCTTCTTTTTCCTTTTTTTTTTATTTCTTTTTTACAATTTTATTGAATGTTCAAGTTCAATTCAAACAGAAGTAGAGATGCTCATGTTTGGCTAATCATATAACATAAAGTTGAGTTGCAAGATCTAAAAGCAGTAGATGAAGATTGTAAAAAAAAAAAATTAAAATTTCTTTTTCAAACATAGATGTTTTCTCGATTTCAGATAAATTTGAAGCGTTTAATAATTTACAATTCGTGAGCAATAAATTTTAATCCATGTTTTTTTTCACTAAACACTTTCAAACTACGATTCTCTTTTACAAAAATATTTCGAGTCATTGAATTTATTATTGTGAATGTCAAATTAAGTTTAAGTGAGATTACATTTATACACCTCTGTTTGTTCTATTTTAATAATTTATGTTATTGTAATAAAATAGATTACGAATATAAAATAATAGAGCATTCTTTTATTATTTCTTTCTTCATATTTAAATATTTTATAATTAACTTAGAATTAACATATATAATCATACTTAAGTTGTTTTATATTACAGCACGCGCAAAGCGCATTTTATCCATCTAGTCTACCAATATTATAATTGCTGAATATCCTTGAAGGTTTGGTAGTCCTCTTGCATGTGTAAATATGTGTTTTTTTTTTTGTAATGTGAGAAGTACTTAATTACTATTGATGGAGATTTTTGCGTGTTTTCACTTTAATTACAATATATAACTTTAATCTAACTTTATGATGACAACCTTTCATCTGCCTCATTTACATCTACTTTAATCACAAAACAACATTAAAAATTTAATTTTATTATTATAAATCTCTTCTTCTCTTTAACTCACCTCTTGATATTCTAATAACTGCTACATTCAATTACATTTCTATCAAAATCTGTAAAACACTTTACCTAATCTAGCCTTCATATGCCTTAGTTTTGTTTAAACTATTCGGCGTTTACATAGCGGCGAACTCACAGAAGCAACCAACCTCTTCAATTGCGAAAATTTCATATTTAAATTAGTAATTCTTCCATAAATCCCTTCTAAAATATGAAATTTCTTAATTTTTTTCATTCAATCCTTACGTTCTTGATAGTTTGAAGTGAGATTAGTTTATTTCTTGAAAAGTTTACTTACTTTGTAATTTTTTTTTGAGTTACTTTATAATCTTCAATTTTTTTGAATTAATTACTTTATTTCAGTACTCATTGAGAAATTCTCCATGTTTTCTATATATTATGACGGAACAAATGCAACGCGAAAATTGGTAGAAATTTAACTTTATTTAATTTTATCTTTAGAATAAGAATTTGACCATTGCTTATTCTTTCTAAAGTTACAAGTGTCTTAGATTGGTAAAATATATGAGCATTTTACAAGAAAAAAGAATCCCACAATTTTTAATTTTTTCACTAATGCAAATTCAAGTGATTATGATAGTGCAACCAACTCGATCATATAAGACAATGTTAAACGCAAAAAAAAAAAAAAAAGTATTGGTTGCTTTTGTGTAAAAACTTTCGACTATCAGACTCCAAATAATTTTTTCCCACCATGACACTTGTCCAAGTTTAGAGATCTTCTTCTTTTAGGATATATAATATACTTGTCCAAGTCTGTGTAGAAAAGTTTTTTTCCTCGCTGATTATTCTTTTATATTTTTTCATGTGTTATTATTATTTAATCAACATGTATTATAATTGGGGAATATGATTTTGGATTTGGTAGTCCTTCCTCTTGTATTTTTTGTCATTTTCAAATTTCATGTATCAACTTTGCTTGTCATTATTTTTGTGGGAGATTTAATTTAGCGTTTAGTAGAAAATAAAATGCGGATAAGAAAATAAAAAGACGTACTGATTATGATTGTTTATTACTTACTATTATTGCTAGAATTTGATAGGTGATAGAAACGGCTGTAACAAGTTTATTTTACATTTTATAATTCTTTACATGTATCATTTTGTAAACTTTCCACCTTGATCTTCCTCCCATTAATTTATTTTTTACAATTACCATTAATATGTGATTTGATAGGTCAAAAAATAGTTTTGATGGTTCTAATGTATAATATTAAATGATGTATGAGTCTGTTCATAGCTTCCTCTCTCTTTTTCTCTTTGTTCTTTGCTTTTTTATGTTTTGTAACGTCTTCATTACAATTCTTTTGAAGATAATCATCTTTCATTGTTCATATTCATTTTTTTCCAAGAATTCTTTTATCTTTGATTTGTTTTTTCATTTTAAAGTTGTTTCTTTTTTTTTTTTTTTTTGATGATGCATAAAAACTTGATTGTGTCTTATTACTTTGTATGTCTTTTTTTTCCTAATCACATTTGTAATATTATGTGTAAATTTTGTTGAAATAAAAAATGTCACATTTTAATAATACGATTCTGTAAAATATGTAAAATATGTAACATCATCGTGGGTCAAAATTTTTTACTATTAACAAATCATTTTTTATTTTATACAATTTGTATTCTTTAATTAAATATAGTGTACGCGTGAAGCGCGTATAATCCATCTAGTATATTATAATTGCTCAATAAGTTTTGAAGTTTGGTAGTCCTTCCCACTTATTTATTTTTGGTTAATTGTTTTTGCATGCAATTTATAATTTTTGTAGTCTCTCATTGAATTTTGTCAAAAGCATTTTGCAATAAATATTTTTCCCTATTTATGTCATTATTATTTTACTTATTACCCATTATATTATATTATATTTTATTATAAAAAATTACTCCCTTATATCTAAATTTATAATAATAAATTATCCTTGATTATCAAAGAATATAATGACCCTTTAATCTCCCTTCCATTAA